AAAAAAAAAAAAAAAAAGAGAAGTAGTTTGTGAAAAAAACAACAGACATTCTGTATGTTTAAATTAGAAAAAAAAAACAGAGGTGAAGCACAAAAGGAGCTTTTATAGATAAGAAAAATGGAATAAATGGTTATTTGGATTCAGTGAGTTAGCAAAATTATCTTGTTACAGGTAAAGAAATTGCTGCCATCTGAGTGCTATACTGCATCYGATTATCAACATTTCTGGATTCTGCCTGAGCAAAACTGGGCACAACCTTTGGCATGTTCCAAAGTCAGAACCCTGCAAAACTTGGGCTTTTCCCTTACCTCCCTGCAATAAAAAATAGGTAGTGCTGTTATGCCTGCCGCAGGAGGAATTTTATCCTCTATTTTTCCCTGCAGGGAAAGCCACAGTTTTAACTTGTGYAGTGGGAGGATTATTTCTGACCCAGGTGCCAAGGGAAAATTCCTTAGGGAGGTGCAGGTGAGGAGAGGAAATAGTGGGGAGTGCAGGAATGGAGCAGGCCCAGCCAGGGARGAGCAGACCTCCTGGCTTAGGAGAGACCTCTGGGAGAGGAAAGGAGAAACAGTGAGGTGGAAAAGCCAGGGCCTGCATGGAGAAGCTGCCAGAAGGGAATGAGGACAGTCGTGAGAATAATCACAGAATCACAGGGATGAAGGAAAACAGTGGGRGAGTTTGCGGTTCACATTCTCACGTCCAAGCTCGGTTCAGCCTTCCCTTGTGCAGGAGCGGCAAGGAGCGGAGCCGCGGCGCGGGAGCCGCTCGGCAGCGCCACGGAGGCGTTTGCTGTTCCCGGAGCGAGTGGGAAATCCCTCCTGGTTTTGGCTGGAAGGACAAGGCCRTGGGAGTAGGGAGCGAGGGCAGCCCCGCTCGGTCAGCCCCTGTGGCTGCAGCAAGGGCCCCGCACGGCGCCCTGAGGCTGTGACGCTGCTGCAGGCGCCTCTGGCCGAGGAGGCGCTTCCCTCAGGAGGCCGCTTTCCTTCAGGCTTTCCTTCCCCACTGGCACTTCCACGGGTTCCCTCTGTGCAGGGACAGGTGCTAATATTGACTGCAGAGAGCACAAGGGTGTTATGGAACTCGTAGGGTCTTTCCCCCAGGGGAGAAAATGTAATTTATTATTGGAGATTATAAAGAAAAACGTGTCTCATGAAAGCAAAGAGATCGAGCTAGTGACTGTAGGAACAATATTGAGTTTAGCCTGCATCATTTTCATATGCAATCCATATTTAAGACCTACATTTAAGATCTTAAGACCTTCATTTTCACAGAGCAGGTATTTTAATTTTGTCTTGTGCAGTCGTCATTTCTAGATTTGGACTGATCAGTGCACAAGAAAGATCARCAGTAAAGCGCTTTGCTTTTTCCAACCACTTAAACGTGTGTCCAGATCCAATTTATTTACTTAGACAAACAAATCCAAAATAAGGGTCTGTAAGCTTTTTTAGGAGTAGTTTGGTTATTGCAAATCCTGGACTAGGACCTGATACTAACTTTGGCCATAAATGCAGTATTTTTATTTGATTGGGCTGTTATTTTGAGGGAGAGATTTGGAGGGTTTTGTTGGTTTGCTTTTTTGTAGGGAATATTAATAGGGAATATTAATATAAAACCTATAGTTATTAGTAGATCTATATGAAAATAATGTACAAGCACCGTATTGCTGTTGAGACACTTGGTCCCTTGGTGCTTCTGAGAGATCCGGACAGCCCTTGCTTCTRCTGAAGGGACATTTCTTCTGCTCCTGGCTCTGAAAGAGATGAACTGGCCCAAGGGGAACCAGCAAATCCTTCCTCAAGGTGCAGGTGTCAGAAAACAGCCCCTGTCTGGTTTTACCTCAGTAGGATTTTGTGACCCTTAAGCAATGCTGGGAGTCCCCCTTGAAGAGTCCTGCAAGAGAACTGGCTCCTTTTTGCTGCTTGGAAATGATTTGGGGTGTGTGGGGGAAAGATGGGGTTTTTCAAGCGGTGACAATACAGTGCAGTGCAGTGCAGTAAATCAACCCTGGGCTTGCTTGCTTGGTTTCATTAGTCCCGGCTGGAACCCTGAAACCTTCGGCTGGAGCAGYGCAGGTGTAACACAGGGCATCAAAGTCACCATCTTAAGCATTTGCTCCCAGAGTCAAGGCAGATTCCCATGGTTTATATCATCCAAAGTTACCTTTATARCAAGCCTTGCTTTGCTGACCACGAGACAACGCTTGACTTGGAGGGTGCAAATTACTAAGTGGTGTCTTCTGGCCAGCGAGCAATGGGGAGAACGTAAATGTATTGGGGAGCTCGTGCAGGGGTGGAAGAGGGGGTGCAGGAGGGTTTGGCCTGACTGGGGCCAGGCTGGGCCTCTCTCCTGCTTTCTGCTGTTGAGCACAGCAAGTCACAAGCATTCTGATCTTCAGTTTGTGTCTCCAAAATAGTATTTATTTAGAGGAACATAAAGCTCTCCATCCTGCATGGAAAAGACGACCACTAAATTAATAATGTTAGTGTATTTACAGTTTATTTCTTACACTGCAGCTCTACAGAACATAGCTCATCAAAAATGCTAACAGAAATTCGGACTATGTGGTCTGACTTGGTCTAAAAGCATATTAAACGGTTCATATAACATCAAGACTGCATTTACAGCATATTTCAGGATAATAGATAAAGTTGAAACAGCACAGAATATTTTAAGAAGATGCCAGATAAAAAAGTGAAGAAAAAAAAACAGAAAAAAAAAATAAAACTCCTGACTGCTTCATGAAGATGCAGGCATCACCCAGCTTCCCCATTTCCCCATTGCTTCTAGAAAATAAATGCAGAAAAACAGATGTGTGGAGTATAATGAATTGGAATATTTCCCCCTATCACCAATAACGAATTGTTATTTGTAAGCTGGAAGTGGCTTTATGAATTTTACTTTATGATTCACTCCGTTATTACCATAAAAAAAAGAGAATTCTAAAGAAATATGTTCAAGAAAAGAACCATTAATATTCTTTACAGCTTGCTCTTGTTGCTTCAGATATGTTCTGTATGAATTCAGACCTCTTTCCTTATGTAAAATCTTTAGCTTTTGCCTTTACTGGATTTAGAGATTATGAAAAAAAAAATTGTAAGAGCGGCCCAGGGAAGCGCTGAGAAGTGTCTTGTTTGTCCTCTCCCGTCTGACCCTGACCRGCGTTTCTCCATGTGGCTTTTAATCTCCACGTAATATAATTCGGAACCAGTCCTGATACATTTTAATGCACCTAATCTCCCCGAGCACACGTCTGGTGCAGGCAGGATGCGGAGCTCTGGGTCGGCRGCTGCTGGGCGCTGCAGTCAACAGTGACTGCGAAATTAAAACAGATCTTTGAATGTTACAGAAAGTCTTTCATCACAGCAAAATTTACCCTGCAAATTTAAAGCAACTAGGGGCCTCCAGAGTCGTGCTTTGAGCAGCTCATTTTTATTCCGTCTACAGCTTTCACTGCAGCATGTCAGTACATTTCCTGTTTTCTTATTAGCAATAGCACATTTAGGAGATGCTCTTAATATTTTGGAAGTTTAGAGCACTAAGCAGCGCTCTCCTGGCTGGAGAGCTGCGTTGCCAGAGCAGCTCCTGCCTCACCCAGTCATTCGGGGCCGTCGCCCCTCTGCCCCGTTCTGCTGCTGCAGTTGCTCCCTGGAGAACAGAAATGATCACGTCCTATAAATGCACCTTCCTCTTGAGAGCCTTCTGGAATTAATGGAGCTCACCAGATTCCCGGGTGGGCTCCGGTGGAAGGCCGTGGGCCTTGTCCTGCTGCGGCTGCTGGAAGTTGGCGCTGTGGCCTCCACTGTCCATTTAGGCTGGAGTGGAGGGACCTTGTGCTCTCCTAAATGCTGTGGCTGCTTGAAAGGCCAGACAAGGAGGATGCCATGCTGGAGCTTTTACCTGTATTTCAGGGGGCTTAAAAAAGATCATTCTCACTTTGTACATGTAGTGAGTATTAAATGGAGACACAGTGTCTCAGACAACATGCGTGATTTTATGGTTTTACTCCAAACCTCCAAAAAGGATGTGTACAACAGTGCCAGAAGTGCTGTTTACATGGATCTTAGATGAGTATTGGGAATCTTTGGATTGTTTCCCAAGCTAGCATATATATTCTGTGTTTTTTTTCATTTCTGTGGGCAGGGATTCTATCTCTAAGGAACTTCGTTTTACTCGGCCTGCAGTTATTGATGCAGTTAGTTGGTTTGTGAGAGTTTATAAACAGGATAAACAATTTATAGTTATTTTTCCATATATATATAGCTCTTTCCTTTAGATCAGGTATGAGATCTTTCCTCTATACATTCTGCCAATGTTGTGCGACCGTTGCACCTCCGATCCTCATCCTCTGCCACTTCTTCTTGTCTGGTTGCTGTTTCTTGGCTTGTGCTTTAAGTTCTGTGAGGTAGAAACCGTTTTTTTTGGTTTCGATGCCAGACCTGCTGCAATATTTACTGCCTGTGATTTAAGATTTCCTGGGAGTTACTGTCCAACAGGTGGATGAACTACTTGCAGCGTGTGGGTACGATGGGAGGAAGCAGAGAAAGAACAACCAGCAACTTTGCATGGGCCATTCACCACCGGCAAGGGGGCGAAGGTGGGAGGTCAGGGAGCAGGAGAGCAAGTGCTTGGCGTTCGGCAGGACCCAGTGGTGTTGGGTTTTCAGCCATGGACAAGAAAGTTAAGTGAGAAGAGGGATTCGGAGGTGCTTGAGAAGGCAGAGAGCTCGTATATTCAACAGCAGTCTTGAAAAGCCATTTTAAAGCTTTCCTTGGATGTGCTTTGAGGAAAGGTCGGTGTGAGGATGAAGGATGTTCGAGAAAAAGGACTTTTGATCGAAAGACGGGGAACTTGAGGGGCTGCAGAACGCAGATTTTTTTTTTTTCAGTCTGACAAATGGGAACCAATGCTAAGCAAGTACAGATAAGAGGGAAGAAAAAACATGGGATTAGGCATAAAAAGAGATCCTGTAAGGGCACATGGAGCTGACCGGCAGTCCGCCCTTGGGATAGAGCTGAGCCCGGCGCTGTCCCCGCTCTCTTGCAGGCCAACAACAAGCCSGAGATCGAAGCCGCCCTGTTCCTGGACTGGATGCGGCTGGAGCCGCAGTCCATGGTGTGGCTGCCCGTGCTGCACAGAGTGGCTGCTGCCGAGACGGCCAAGCACCAGGCCAAGTGCAACATCTGCAAGGAGTGCCCCATTATTGGATTCAGGTACCAACGAGCTCCCCTTCTGCTGTCTGTACAGAGAGCTGTGTTCCTTTCCAGGCAAATCCTGTTCCTGATTTTGTGCCTGTCATTCACGAACAAAAATAATGGTGACAGGACAGGAGGAAGAGAGGGACACTTAGGTTGGATGAAGAGTTGAAGCTGAGACAACAAAATCCATTTATCAGTTAGGATATCTCTTCCTCTCAGTACTGCTCTTGTTTCCCTTCCTTCTGTGCTTCGATCACAGTATTGGTAAATGGAACAATCAATTCGATTGGYCTTATAAATCCCAGCTATCCTGTAAATGCAATTGTATTTTCTCAGTGGGATCCTAATTAATTTCTTTCTATCATGGCATAAAGCAAGGAAAGGATTTGAAAATTTTGGAATGTGTAGAGATACAAAGAAAGAATTTTGTTAGTGAAAAAATTAACTTGGAATGCTGGAAATATGATTCTATTAAACTCATTTCTTTGTTCTGATTCTATTCAGCCTACCTTCTGTAAGCACCACTTATTTAGCAATACCATGAAAGCCTCGATTTTGAAATGTTGCTGATGTATTTAAGTACATCTCAATGAAAACCATGGTTACTTACAGCAATGAATAAGCCAGTGTGTTTTAAAATGGCTGTGTGTCAGTATGCTTGCTGAGAATCCACTTAGCTGCTAAGTAAATACTCACTTGCAATTATGCTTAGACTTATTGTATCCCTTTGTTTCCAAATAGCTGCTTTGTATGGTTGTATGTCCTTTTTATTCCTGGTCTTTTTTTACTACTGGCATTTATCCTTCTGTGGTATCATGTTGTTTTCAATGAGCTTTTTGTGATTTTGCTTCTAAAAACCAGACAGACAACAGCAGCAGGATCACATAGAAAAGGCATCATTTTGCCCTGCATGGGAAGTAAAGAACATATTTTCAGGGCTTTTTTTTTTTTTTTTTTTTTTTTTTTTTTTTTTTTTTGTTTTTGAGTTTTAATTCTGCAAGGTTGATCATCTAAACTCATCTCCTTCTCAGCTAGGGAATGCTAAATATTACTGAGGAGCTCAGGATGGGATGTAGCTAGTTTAACACTTCCACAAAGTCCAGTTTTCCTGCTCTCGGGTACAGTTAATGAAGCTACTGAATACTTATAAGGTTTCCAGAAACGGTCAAAGACAAGTAGGTAGAACTGAAAAATGCACCACTTGAAAAATCAAAGGATGGCAGGTGAATGGATAGTCTCACAGTAAGCACTAAGAATTGGGAAAAGGGGGCACTAGAGCTGTGTGCTCTGATCTGATTTCACTGCTCTGATCTCGTCTCTCTCAAATTCGAATAACAAATCTATTATCACGATAGTGATACAAATACAGTGGACTCATAGAGATGATGAGACTAAATAATGGCCTGCCAGCATGCTCGGATTTTTGCCTGGATTTAGTTCTGTTCATGCAAATTATTTTGATAGGGGTGCTAGCAACTATGTGAACATGTTCTCAGCGGGCTGCAGACCGTAAGAAGTGACTGAAGTTACTTGCTGAGAAGGATGTGACTGGCTTGAATTTTACTTGCTCGAGAATTTCTGTGTCAGGAATCAGGATGGAGATGAAAAGAAAGGAAGTTAGGGTCACAGAAACAGCAAGCCCAGTGGTGTCTTTTATATGAGACACTGATTCTGTAGAATTCCTTATTGTTGCTCATTGTTAGGAATGCTGTAGTGTTTATTATTTGCTTTCCCAGGATCCAATTCCTTGATAAATATACGTGCTTCCTTGCTCTCTGATGGTAGTGCTACCTGACACCCAGTGGCTAATGAACACTGTGCTGTATTGTGCATCTCAGGGAAAGGAGCTTATTGACACACAAAACTTCTTTACAAGCTGACATGAAGCATTCACATRCAAGGCTCTGAAGACGTCTCTCTTTTTTTTTCCCTCCTATATCAGGTACAGAAGCTTAAAGCACTTTAACTATGACATCTGCCAAAGCTGCTTCTTCTCCGGMCGTGTTGCAAAAGGTCATAAAATGCACTATCCCATGGTGGAATACTGCACACCAGTAAGTAGCTGTTTTACTGACCCTTAATGCCCACTGTTACGTAGCAAGAAACAACCCATTCACTCTGAGCAAGCTAATGGTCGACTCTGCCCCTGCTCTGATTAAATCACCCTTCATACATTCTCCAGCATTTTGTAATGCATATTAGGGAGCTAGTCCAGTTGTTCTAAGGAAATAGAAGTTGTGTTTCATTGTTTTTACAATGCTGTATCAAAGTACTTTGTTATGTGCTAACAGTTCGTTCCATGTTCAGTGTTAAACAGTTCATTTTATGTTTTTTTGCAATGACCTTATGATTTCTGAAATTGTGTATGYTTATAACTTAGTCACAGTATTTCTGCTGTATCGGTGTGAGGTTTTTCTTCCTTTCCTTGTCAAGTTGCCACTTCACTATTTTTTCCCCAGTACGCTTTGGTTACATTTTAAATGCTCTACTGTTTAATAATGCCTTTTCTTTGTATGATGTCTTAATGATATAGAAAAAGGTCAGGGTAATGCTCAAAAGCAGCAAGTTGGATTTTGTCTCTGAAGACTGGAAGGCTCTTCAGTGTTTGCCCTGTGCTGCACTGCTTGGGCTCCTCACCCCCATTTCACAGCTCTGAAGAGGATCACTTGTGCATAGATACTTTGTTCATATCAGCTGACAAGGCAAATCCCATACCACTCTCTTGGTATTTTTGGTCTCTCTTGGTTCCTTTTTGGTCTCTGATGACCAGGACAGAAATGAGAGGAGCTCTCAAGTTGTCCTTCCCCAGTGCAGAGCAACTTAGCTGCTTTCGATGTTGTTTGTGGTGCTACTGAAGCACTGCACGCCCTGGCAGTCTGTTCCTCATGGGATAAGTTGGTCACTAGTATTACACTTTTGCCTGCTAATCAAATATATATATGTCGAAAATAAAGCGTCAAAATTATGCATGGGCTAACCTAATAGGAATATGGGAATGGAAAAATAAGGGAATGGATTCTAACTCTTCATCTAATCCTAAAAGGGCATGGCGTGAATGAAGCTGGCTATCAGCTCTTCTTAGAAACTTCAGGAAACAGGGCAAAACTTTTTCCTTTAAAATATAATAGAGCAAAATCATTTTTATCAGTTCTATTATTTCATTGATGTTTTTACTACCTATCAACTTTCACTGTATCATTTATATGGCACTATTTAATCAGAACCACTGCAAGAGCAATTAGTTTGGTTTTGCTAGTTTTTTTTGTCATTATTATTTGGCTGCTTATTCTTAGAAGCATCTTTCCATACTGTTTAAGGTTACTGAGAAGGGGGAATTTGCCTGAACTTCTGCACAAAACAAAAGGAATTCTGTAACTACCTAGACAAGTCCAAACAGAATTTCCTCTTGCAAGCATTCCTAGAGCAAACTGTAATGATCTGAGTCACAGACCACCAGATTAGAGCATTCCTTTCAACTGGAGCCCTAAAAAATCATGCTGAGTTGGCTCCTGCTTTGTTTCCTTGTTTGCTACTTTTCTTGGGCTAGTAAGTGATGTGAGGAAGTTGTGAGTGAGGCACAGCAACATATTGCTGCCATTTTTTTTTCACCTGTATATTAAGATGTGTGTTGAGGAAAATGTGAAAGGAGAAAAGTGAAGCAAGACTGAGAGACACTCCTTACCCTGAGGCAACTCATTGCAATACACAATTGCTGTTCTTCCCAAGAGTACAGGTTACTAATGAGCAAATACGGTGAGGAACAGGAATCTTGCAATTGCACCCGGGTTGCTGAAATCAGAGTAAAGAACCATTTACCAAGAGCAGATTTTTTGTGAATTCTGAACTCCAGTAATCCATGCTAATGTGCTGGGCCTTGCTGTGCCAGCAGTAAGCTGAATTAGAGAAGGATTAACTGGCAAAAAKGGGAATGCCGCAAGCTCACTGCAAACTCTGACCTTTTTGTGTTGCTGCTATTGAAAAAAATAAACCTAAGTACTGTGTGACTGAGCAAGACAAGCTATCGTATCTAGTATGTGATTTATTTTCTAAATGAATGACGAGAGTTTAGCAGTAGCAAAGCATTTTTCCTGGTTAGTCTAGGCAAAGCTCTCACCTTAGGATTCATTTCAACACGCAGGAGCACGTGGTGCCTTCTTTGATGTGTCTGTGAAGCAGCTAAATTCACCTCCTTAACAGTGAGGTGTTGTTCCCCCTCTCTCTTGCTTCCAGGAGCCTTCCTTTGGAGCACTGCAGTCTTCAGTCCTGTTCAAAGGGAACTAGAGAACTCCTGTCTAAGGAAACTRATAACTTGCTTCTCCTGTGAGAGGTTGAGAGAGACAGGATAAGGGCAAGGCAGTCTCCTAACTTTTATTTAGATTAAAAAAAAAAGACTCTTAGAAGCCACACAGCTCAATTTATTACTGCAAGAGAGGTAACTTTTAGAGAGGTTTCAAATGGGGCATAGAAGTGACTGACTTTTAGACTGGAATTTAAAAGTAGATTCATTCATGTGCTTGGGGATAGCAGGGATGCAGTAGCACAAAATGCTGTCTGGGCTGGGGCAGGCCCCGGGGGTCCGCCGGGATGCCCCACCACAGCCGGTGCTCGCGGTGCCGGGCGCTGCGGGTGCCTGTCCCAACAAAACCACCACACGTGGCAGCGGCAGCGCTTCCCCTGTGCCSAGGAAGAGCTTGGGAAGCGGCCCAGCTCCCCGCGCATGGCTGCGGTTTGAGGGCTCTGAGCTGCCAAAGGGGAAGGCCTTTGATGCCTTCTTCCTCATAAACCAGCGCTGAGGAAAGTTTGGTTGTGGGTGATTTTGCTCTGAGATGGAAAATGTTACATCTGTGGAATAAAGTAGAAAAATTAGTTGAAAGTAGCCTTAATCTACCAGCCTGTGCACATTTTATTTGCCTTTATTGAGCATTTTTGAAATTGAAGTATTTGAGAAGTGTCGGCTGCTTCTAGTTGCCTTGGAAGACATACCTCCTTCTTAGGGCTCTTGTGATACCAGCTTTCAAATTAGACTGTGGCGTTTCTGTGGGAACACACAATTTTACCATTAAGATTCCAGGCAGATAGTTCTAGRGAGCAAGCAACATCTCTAGGTTACACGATGGAAAGGGAAGAATGTTTCCTGCTTAACTGTGCTTGAAAACACTTGGTGCAAGTTGCAGTATAATGCAATTAAAAGGTATTATGAGAAAGTAGTAATGAATGTTCATAGATGACACGGGTGAACCAAAGCAAACAAAAACATGCTTAGTGTATTTATACTAAGATCAAATAATAAAAGTCTGTCTCCATTCCCAGCTAACTTGCTATATTTGCTTTCCTGACATTGACCTTGTTAGGAATTATTATAAGAGCCACTGCACGTTGCATTCATAGCTGAGGATTCCCTCCTGCTGGGAAATGCTGGGTCCTAGCAGTGCATCCCTTTGCATCTGGAATCCTCTAGGTGRCCTGGGTGTATTTCATCTCTCCCTTCCCCAAGATACCTTTATGTTTAAGGTACTGAGAGAGTTAAGATTAATATTTGAGCGTTATCTCAGTTTCTTGCAAATACAACTGTTGCTCTGTTAAAACCACATCATCTGCATCTCCTTTATGTGATTGTCAAAAATCAACAAGTCAGATGTGAARCACCAGTTATGCTCCTGTTGGGACCAGTTGTAACCTTTCGGTCTGAAATGTCTCTATCAACTGATTTTACATCAGTCTATACGTAAGAAAACACATAGCACATAGAAGATGTAAGTACATATTATTCATTATTAGCTTTTGATGAAATGGAATGTGAGAATAATGAATCATTTGAGACAATGGGAGATTCGGGGAGTTTGACCCCCAGAATTATCATTAAAATGATAGATTTTTCAAAGAAAAAAAACGATTCCAGGGCTGTCAGAACTTTGCATTACAAAAACTAGGCTCAAAGCTGTCTCTGAAAAATTGGTTGGTGATCATCACCCAAAATAGCTAAGCTGCAAATATTTATCMCTTGCAATATATTGCATCTCTTCTAATCATGGAACTGAATTTTCATGCAAGACGGACTGACCTGAGCAGCAAAGTCCTTTCTGCTTTATATAGAAGATGGTCGGCATCCTCAGTAGAGGCAGAACAGCTCTCCTTTTTCATAATGAAGTTCATATCTTTTTGCCTTTTTTTCTTTCCTATCTGAGCAATCATTAAATATATACAAATGAAATATATATATATGCATATGTATATCAGCAGCTCTGGGGAAGTTGGCTTGATGGATAGATCCTAGCACACCCTTCCTCTCTAAATAGAAGTCATAGAAGCTATTAAATTTGTCAGATAGATTAACTTCCCCTCRTTTATTTCCTTCAAATTAAATACACTAGAGAAGTGATATCTTTATGTAGGTTAGAAAAATYTTAACTTAGTGTTGCAGGTTTCTCTGCAAAGTGTAAAGAATGGGGTGTAAACTGAATGAAGTAACTGAAATTAAAATTCTTCACAAAAGAATCTTCTGACTCTTAATCATACTCACAGGTAGTCTTGTATCTTCCCAGCAAAGGGAAACTTCCCCAGCTTTCAGCTCTTTCTGGCTCATGCTGGTGCTTAGGGGGTGGATTCTCCCGTTTGCCGCAGTGCTGGTGTCTCCAGGAGAAGGGGAGCTGAGCGCAGGGAGCCAGGTGGGAAGCTGTGTGTAAATAGCAGCCTGCTCACGTTAGGATCTGCCTGCCCACTCGTGTCAGAATCAACAGGCACAAGAAGAAGCTGCTCTAAGAAATGTCAGCAGCCCTTACCAGCTTTCTGTTCCTTTTWGATCAAAATGTTAAAGGCTGAAAAGGGAAAATTAAAATTTATGAGAAGTGTTAGGCTGACTTTCATAGACTGACAAATCTCTGAGCTGTGAACAAAAACCGTGCAGTGAGACAGGAGTCAGTCAGCAACGGCGGCTGCCCGCCCCCCAGACAGACTTTTTCTACAGCCATTTTAGTGTTGTCGAAAGAGCCGGCAAAGAATCCCCAGCCAGATCAGAAACGACAAACTAGTCATTTGCAAACGTCAGTCACCCGAGAAGAGACACAAACCTCTTCCTACAGGTGTTGGAGCTTCTTACTTTTCCTTTCCCCATCCTACTAGTTGCGTCGTTTTGAACTAACCTTTAGGACTGCAGGGATAAATGTGTAAACTTGGAGGTTCCGGAGGCCAAGTCATTGACTGTGCTTGGTGAGGCCACAGCTCCCTCAAACACCCCAGCAAAGGAGGAGGCGCCTGAAGACAATGACAACCTCATGACGGGTGATTTCGTTGTGATTTGTGGCTTTCAGACAACTTCAGGAGAAGATGTCCGTGACTTTGCCAAGGTACTAAAAAACAAATTTCGAACAAAAAGATATTTTGCAAAGCACCCACGAATGGGCTACCTGCCTGTGCAAACTGTCTTGGAGGGAGACAACATGGAAACGTGAGTAGCCGTGAAGTGCTTAAGCAGTGATCCATGTGGTTTGCTCCSCGAGCTCCCCGGCTGGTGCCAGCTCCTTCCCTCCCTGACCGCATAACGCCGCCTTATTCCTGCCGTTTCTGTTAACTGTGGCTGACAGGAAAACACAAGCTGGGATTCCAATTGCCATTCCCTTTATTTTCATCTCTCCTTAGAGGAGCTTAAAATTCAGTTAGTCAAAGTAAAATACTGTCGTCCTGACAGCCCCGTAAGGCTTAAAATTTGATACAACAATTGGGAAACTAATGATCTCTGTGTTAAGTTTTTCTTTTCTTCCAAGTGGATAACGTTCTGTGTTTGATTTCTTTTTCTTTTCCTTTTTTTTTTTTTTTTTAATTAGATTATTATGTTTGCAAGATTCCCAGCTGATTTTTCGTTTTCTCACCCTATAAATTTAGTCAAATTAAATGGCTTTGAAGTATTTATGGTGGGGAAAAAAAAAGCAATGATACACATGCAGATTTTAATGAATAACCCAGTTCCCTTTGGTTTTCTTACAAGTTTAATCAGTTGCTTAATGGCAATTGCACACAGCTTGTTCTCTCTTTTTCCCTATTTCTCTCTTTTGCTCTTTTTTTTTTTTAATTTTAGATTTTTTTTCCACTTTTTGGTTGGTTGCTCTTCATGGCCATTCATGTTGGTCTGTTGGATTTTCCATTTTCAGTTACCGTGATTTTTTTTTTTTTTTTTTAATCTTCCTGTAGTTATTTTGCTGCTGAGTTTCTTCTGCCTCTCTCTTCACCTCCTCATTTTTTGTCTTGCAGTCCTGTTACTCTGATCAACTTCTGGCCAGTAGATTCTGCGTGAGTACTTTTGCTGGAGTGTGCTGCTGCTGCTGCTGCTGCCGCTGCCGCTGCTGCCTTCCCCCACTTTCGTTTCCTTTCGTTTTGTTTCCTTGTTTGGTTTTACATATGTTCATTTCCTCCTTCCTTTGCGTTTGGTTTCTCTGGTAGACTTTCTAATAGGCTGGGATAAAACCAGCAGTTCCCAGCAGCCATGAAGCRCGCACTGTGTACTCTCTCTGGAGTATCTGTTTTCACTGAATTAAATGGGATTTTGGTGCAGAGTCCTACTAATGCTTCTGAGAACTTGTCATTTAAAAATCTGTGTTTCTGGATGAGTATGGATCCCTCTTGAATGCAAACTAAATGCTTTTTGAAAGATATAAGTTGAACTTTACGGGCTTCATTCACTTATGCTTTGTACATAGGGCCTTTTTTTAGGTTTTATGCACATCCGTGCGAACCCACATGCCCTGATAATCCAAGCTCACTGGACATTTTGTTAGTTTTTTTTTAAACTAAAGTAGGATTTGTAAAGGGAGATCAAAATGGAGAAATATGTTTTCTGTAGTTTTTCAGAAGTTAGAAAGGAAGATTTTTCAACTATGAACTGGATTCTYATTCTTGCACCATTCCTGCACAAGCTTTGTCTTACTGTTGTAGTAATACCCCTAGAATAAACTAAAGATATATACTTAACATTGTGGCATTTCCTACTACTTGTGTGATACGGATAATTTTAGAGTAATGTTAAATAAAGATTAATTCACATACTGATATATACTGAGATACTAACAAATAGAGTTTTATACATTTCTAATAACATGTTAAATGTAAATGGCTTGCACCTTCCTTGAAGTTTTAGTAGAATAAACAGTAGTGAAAAGTATCCATTGGCATATTGATGTATAATTTACCTGTGCAGCACAAGCCTTTGTGAAGGCAGTTGAAGAGCTCCTGCTCTCAGGAGCTGACTCGAAGCAACCAAGAAATGCACGGGCTGCTACAGCCGCCCCGTGGGGGTGAGGATCCACCCCCAGGAAATGCCCAAGGCTAGAGACGGATTGAAGGAGAGGGCCCTTGAACTTGGGGATGCATTTGTGTCTGCAAACGCAGCGGGGACTAATTGCAGCGTCCCACGTACAAAGCTGTGGCTCTGGAGTTCTTACATTTAACACAAATTGAGAAGTTAGATGTTAAAAACGGCTTCCTAACTAAAGCTCTGTTGGCGTGTGGAACACGTCTGCTGTTTCTGGAATAATGTGCAGGGAAGCTGCTCCAGCATTACCTCGCTGCCAGGCGCAGGCCCCTGCCTCACGTACAGAAGCAGCTTCGTGGCCTGCCTAAGATAACAGCTTCACACCAGAGCGTAGCGGTCAGAGACTACAGGGAGTTTGCTCTGCATGTAGTGCTTGTATCCTGATATCCTGAGAAGGGGGATATGTAGGGAAAGGTAATGACACTTAGCCAGCCAGCTCGGGTATCTTGACGAACACACTCCTTTCTCCTCTCCCAACCAGAAAGAGGAAAATTAAAAAGTGGAAATAATATTTCTTTGGTTTAGTAGCTTGGTTCCTTCTTTTAGTGCTAGTTCACCAGGCTTACAGTGCAAGTTACTGATYAAGCCAGGTTTAAGGCTATTTCTCACTTAAAAGGCTAATTCCAGCCTTGGCAGTCAAACCTCTTACTCTGTTATCAGAAGACTTTCCTGTGTCTTCTGAGCTCTTGTCTTATTCCTGTGGGGTTTTKGGGGGGATAATTTCCAAAGTCCTTGAGAAGAGCGTAACCCAACAGCATTCAATGGTGCTAGCACTATCCTGGCATCAGCAGTTGGTTATAATGCTGAGCATAAATATAAATATATATGTATATGCTTTTTGTTAGAAGTTAGTGACAACTGACTTTTTTAGCTGATGTTTTACATATGTTCTGATTGCCGTGCATTAAAGGGGCAACTTGGGCATTTTGCAAGACTATTTATTTCATTTTATTTGGACTGGGAATTGTCAGTGGGACAAAGAGAGTTCCCTGATTCCACACTTTTAAGAAGCAACAACCAAAATACTGAACTGCAAGGAAAATGTCTTCATCTTTTCACCCAGGTTTCCAGGAGCTTAGAGGTTTGCAGTGTGTGGTGTTTGCCACTCAAGCACCTCTTGATTTTACTGGCATTCTTAAGGCTGTTACACAGACACCACCTTGAAAAATGAAGCAACTCTGGTGTCTTAGTAGAAAGAATTTATGTCTCAGTTAAATATGGCTGTTTCTAAACCTCCTTGCTAATAATCAAATTTATATGTCCTCAGAAAGTAAGGAGAGTGAGCTCCTTTCCGGGTCATCATCTAGGACTGTGTCTACACAATGGACTGCAAGACAAAACTGTCTTAATATTTTATTTTTAAATAATCAGATATGTGTACTAGATTAATATTCATTCTTTTTAAGTCTATTTTTCAATTTATGTTTAACTTCTTTGGTGGACTGTAATCATGCCTTGTTTGTGTCTAATGATGGAGCTTAGTTTCAAAGCAAGGGCTAAGCAGCCATGAGGGCAGGCTGGAGTTTGAATTTTCTACCTTGCTCTAGTGCCAAAGGGAGYGTCTCTTGTCTTCCTCCTTTGGCCAGTTGGTTCCAACCAGATGCTTTTCTTTGTCCTGGTACAAACCCATGTGCAGTCCTAGCATTGAAATGTTATTAGGGGAATGATCCCGTTCAAAACTAAGGTCACTCTTAACACGTATTTCCTATATGGAGACAGTAGTAGGAGCAGAAACACAATGTGTGCATTGAAAATTAGATCTCTTCTTTCACTGATAGTCAGCCGTTTAGATAAGATTAAAGCATACTGTATGCCAAGCAAATAAATCAATGCTAACCACATTTTTTTAATCAGAAAAGTGCTATTATCTTGCTCCATAATCCACTGCTGTGGGTAAATAACAGTTTTCCCACTCCTTTCCCTTCAGTGTCGATGCTGTAATGCAAAATAGGGTGTTGGGTTGGAGAGAATCAGTTGCCCATCTTCAGGCATCTCTGTTGTAGTGAGGAGCTCTGGGAGCTGAGTGTTTATCAACTGGTTTGCTGGAATATATGATGGGTAAATTCAGAGGTGGAAACCAAGGCTCACCTCAGACATCAGAAATTTGTGATACTTGACCTGTAATGTCTCACAGAGGAAAGCTTTCTTATTCCCTGAGAAAGACTCATTGATGATAATGGCTTTTCTATTTATTGTTAGGATCCTAATTTTCTAAGCACTTGGCAGGCAGATGTGAAAACTGGAAGGTGACCAGTAGTGTGTTATGATCTTCTAGCAGACTGCTACGCACTTACCAACTCCTAGCAGTAGCATTATACACAAGGCGGTTACACCTTTGAGTTATAGCTTCTAAATACAGAGGTTATTTTATGCACTTTTGAAGTGCARTGAAATCTACACTGGACAGAACCAGTTTGAGGCACAGGATATGACATTTGTAAGTGAGGGAAAAATACTTAATCCGTCAGCAGTTTTAAAAAGGAGTTCTGATAGAACAGAGAAAGAGAAGGTAAAATCCAACTGAAATTTGAAGTTGTTGTGCAGTCTGGAAAGTTGAACCATTTTTTATTTTTTTAGCACACCCTAATAGACTGGAAAAATTCCACATCACATTAAAGCACTTCTTACCAGTACAGCCATTTCTGAATGGCTGCATATTTATTAACTGCATTAGTGCAGAGTTCAAGATTCAAGCCAGAACAATGTTCTTGTGAAAAGTCCCATTACTTTTTTTTTTGATTGACAGAGAAAAGTGAAGAGGATCTTATACCATCTCATTTGTCAGGCAGAAGATCCAAAATAGAGCAGGTAGCACTCCAGCATGCTGATTTATTGGTTCAAATTGCAGCATTGGGAAGAAGCCAGGCCAAATCATCAGTTTCTGCAGTGTGTTGTTAAAGGCTCATTTCAGACGTTTTATGTTTCGTGTATATAYGCTGATTGACCATGGAGTAAGTACTGAAAGGCATGTTTAAATGGAACATGCTTCTGCAAGACTAGAAACAGGCATTGGGACAGGGAAAGAGACAGAAGAGGTTGAGAGCATAAGAGCAAGGCTTTCAAAGCACCCAGAGAGTTGTGAGTGAAACAGGATTAAGACTGAAGCGGGCCGATGTGAAGGAAAACCAGGGAGAAAGCTCCTCTGTAAATCCTTCGGGGAAAGGTTCTTGAGATACGTGTGCAGGGAGAGACCGCCGCCGCCACAGACAAGTTTCCAAATTGTCCGAGTCCCTCCTGGAACGACAAATCGCGGTAGCGGTGACTGGAGGACACGCACTGAGCACGAGGGTGACTTGCTGTTGATGAAGCATAACCCTAGCGGAAGGCCTAGAACTGCTAGGATGCAGACATACCTAAGTGTCTTTTTTGACTTTTCCAGGGGGTATTGTTTGTGATTAATCAGTGTTTTCTGCCCTATAGGCCTGCCTCGTCCCCTCAGCTTTCACATGATGATACTCATTCACGCATTGAACATTATGCTAGCAGGTAGGAGACCAGCTGGACATTAGGCAAATCTTTCTTTAAGCAATCCCACAYGCTAGGTGAATGGTTCTTAAAGAAAAACAGGGTTTTGCTTTTGCTTTCCTAGATCTCAGATGCAGGATATAACCCCTAACTGCTACTAATCATTCCATCAACTAACTTGCATGCCAGAGCATGTACGTGATTAAAAATGGCCTTTAGTTTCTATGGGGTTCTTTGTTCAGGCATGCATTCAGTTTAAACTGTTTTATTTTTAATATAGATGTAATTACGTAAATCACAAGAGCTGAATCCTCCAAACTGTACATGAATCTCAAATGCCATATTTAATTCATATTTACTGTATTAAGTAATTCTCTGTAAGAAGTACTGCAATCAGGACCTTTGCTTTGGAGGATAAAGATAATAGTACATCACTGATGTAGTTCATGTGCCTACTTCCATACTGCTCCTAACAGTTGGAAAGTGGGTTAATTAAACAAATGCCAAAAAAAAACAAGTTTTTTTTTTTTTTTTTTTTAACAATCAGCTTAATTTGTGAAGCCTGATACAGTGGAAAATAGTTATTCCAATTTCCTCATTCCTTCGCCCCAAAAATCATGATCATCTGAGGTATTTTTAAAATTATACAGTACATATAGGAGAAACTAAATATTGAAAACCAGTGAAAACTGACTGATCATTTTGGTTCTGTGATGGCATTGACACGTACAGAACAATTTGTGAATTCTCCTGGCATCTTAAGACCTGTCTTTGATTGTGAGCTTAATTAATCAAGGGAAGTTGAACATAACCTCAGAGGAAGAGGTGAAAGCTTAGAAGTCAGTTTAAACAGGTCATCTTAATGTGTAAGCAATTACTCCTGATAGCTTACTGCAAAATTCTTTGGTAACCAACAGTCGTCTGTGTTTAAGATACTCTTAAGTCATCAAAAACATGGCATTTTTTAATCTTTTCAGGAATGTTAGAGCAAGCAAAATTTCTGAAAAGCACTGTTGATTTTAATGAGTTTCTTTATTTTTCCACAGGCTAGCAGAAATGGAGAACAGCAATGGCTCTTATCTAAATGACAGTATTTCACCTAACGAAAGCATGTAAGTTGACTGTTATAATATATTTGATATGTTTTCTTGTGTGGGTTTACCACTTGTAATAAAATCCCAAAAACCAGAATTTACATGACCACATCCCACACCTAGTTCAATTTCATGACAAATTTCTCATATTCATTCAGATTATATAGTGATTTCTGGATTTATGGTTTACTTAGTTTATGCAACAAATGGTTAACACTTTCAGAATTAAAAATATTAATTTCTCTACAAAAATGATTAAGTTATTCAGTAAATATTTGACCTATTATCTGGAAAAAATGTTCATCACCTGGTGTTTTGAGGACAAGGAATAGTCATCCCCTTTATCTGAACTGCAAGCTTGAACATGACTAAATTTCTGTAAGCTAGAAAACATAGTCGCGGGGAAGATGTCACTCAAAAGGCTTGTGAGACTATGTTGAAATCCTTCATCTACAAATATAACTGAAATGCATTGCCAGTAAAATGTAAGAGTGACTCATCCTTAACAGTGGAATATCAAAAGAAGTAAACTGCAAGCTGGACAGATCCCTGACAAGTATTCATTTAGCTAATTTATATTTAAAATCATGTATAAAAGGCACTGTACATATATAAAAGTCTATTTAAAATATTTTGAAAAAAGTATTCAATTTAATATCACATTGAGACTTTTTTTTTTATTTTTCTGATGTGGTCGTGTCTTTCTCCTTTTCCCAGCTTGCTTTATCACGTTTGGCTTTGAGTGCACAGAATCAGAAAGCTGACTGTGGGTAGTGCTTTCAAAAAGAGCATATAAGCCCRTAAATCATGAGAGTGCTTGAAAATTTGCTCTTAGTTAGCTAATGTAGAAGGAGCCATAACATAGGTTTCAAATGAATCTTTTATGAAAAAGTAGCAATATTCTAAAGTGTTTTTTTAATATTGCATGTAGTGTGATCCTTATCACAGTGCAACTTCTTTTTTAATTCAGACAGTATCTTCTTTCTACTACATTTTTGGAGTACATTTAGAGCACAGAGTTATAGTACTTGATTCAGTTAAGTTCAAATCCCAAGGCATCAGTATTTTATAAGGATGTTTGTCAGCCTGTGGTATATTCTGGGATATCAATAAAACAGTTCCTTTCATTATTTTGAAATAGTTTCTCTTTTGACTTGGTAGAATTGTTACCTACCAATTTGGAAAGAAAGTTATGTGTATAACCAAATATTTTATCATTGTTTTAATTTACTGGTTCAAAAAGGAGAAAATGTCATATCAAAAGTCATACATACATAATGTCGGCAGAGTCTCACATAGCTTATGAACCTCAGTTTCCACATTTAATATTAAACTTCAATTGTTGTGGTTAGTAGTACTTTTATTATATATGAAAGTTCCTGTTGTCTTTGGTGAAACATTTGTGTACTCTTATGCACAAGATCATACATAAGCTGCATTTTCCATATCATGCTTCGGTCTTACTATTCAAATCAGTCTTGGGTTAATTAAAATTGTATTCATGTTCTGAAATTAATAAGCTAACAACTGACTTTCCAGTTTGCCATTCAGTTTTCAATATTAAAATTAGAAAATAACTTTATCTTCTGAATTTTGGAAGAACTGAAATGCAGATATACATTGCTGTAAAATCAARCCTCCAAATACTCTTCATGCTTTAAGAGAATTTGGAGCTGTAACTCTGAGGTTTTTTATGTCAATTGTACTTCAGATGTTATTTATTGACATTCTCATGGGCTTCGGATTACCTGATATATAATTGCAGTTAGAATGATAGATTGGTTGATATGGGGAGGGAAGGAGGAATCTGTAGGAATCACAGACATAACACATAGGAATCTGTAATTATATCTAGAAGGATGTGTGGGCCACGAGCCATATGTCTTGGAAAACAGCAATCTAGTTAGCACTGCAATAATTTTTTCCCCCATTAATTTACTTCAGATGTATAAGGGTATGTATATATGCAAACCAGTTGTCTGAATGAAAGCTGAAGTGTTTCATGAAGAGTATAAATTTAGAAACTACTGAACCTTTAGAATTTGGTTTAAGAAAAAGTAGAGGATGCCTGGTGTGAGAAATTAATGGTTCTTTTTTATGAACTAACATTAATGTGCTGTAAATTGCTTTAGCCCTCCTGCAGTCTATAAAACAGCATCATTAACATTTTCAGGAACAAAATGGAAATGGGGAATATTTTAATTTTTGAATAACAACAACAATTCAAAATGCCATTTAAATTCTGAAATTCAAAAATAGCAGAAAAAAAAAAAACCCTCAGCAAACCATTTTGTGTTACAAGTCACTGTTACCAGAAGATTCCCCGCAGCAGGGTTGCTTCCTTCCTGTCATTGACTTGTGCCCATGCCATCTCTCACAGGTTCTCGTAACTGCTGYTGGAGTTAATTGCCTGGCTTAGGGGCAGAATGCCTTTCCTTAGCATCCAGAACTTCCATTTCATTCCATGAGGTGGTTGAAGTCTTCAGAACTGGACTTAGTTTTTTTCCAGTGCTGCTTTTGTTTCAAATGTGGTTTTAGGGGCAATAAAATTAATAAATGGATTAAATAGAGTGTATTTATATTCTGACAGTGCACGTCATGTGTACTTTCAAAGTAAATCTGTAGTCAAAATAGCTTGGTTTCACTAAATTATGATTAATTCAAGATATAATTCACTAAATTTACAGTTTTAAGAAGTAAAAGAGAATGCCTTTACTGAACAGGGAGAGTTTATAGTGTATTTCACATTTGTTTGAATAAACCTTGCTCAGCACAAATCAGGTAGCATAAAATGGCTTTTTCTGACAAGCAAACTTCTAATATAAGTTGGGTGAAAAGGAAAACTCAGATTTCAGCTGTGACAAAAATGATCTTTAAATATCTCAGAAACAGAGGGGAAGAGAGATGGACTCTGTGGAGGAGGAAAATTACCACAGACTAAGTGAAGTAATTCAGTAGGTTTCATTTCAGATACACTGTTCTGCTGTTCATTAAAATGAGTTCAGTGTTTTTGCTTTATAAAAATCAGAGACTTAAATTCCTTTCCTCATACTCATTGTGAAGTTAAAAACGATAAAAGTAACAGTCTGCTTTATCSTCTGTTTTTCAGTGATGATGAACACTTGCTAATCCAGCACTACTGCCAAAGTCTGAACCAGGAATCTCCCTTGAGCCAGCCCCGGAGCCCAGCACAGATCTTGATTTCTCTGGAGAGTGAAGAAAGAGGGGAACTAGAGAGGATTCTGGCAGATTTGGAGGAGGAAAACAGGTGAGTTAGATTCTTAGCAGCAACAGTGATCCGGTGTGCACCAAGGGTACAAATAAAAGTGAATAAGGGAAACTAATAAAGCCCTRTAGTTGGGCTGTCTTTTTAAATAAGCTGGTTCTGTTAAACAGCCCAGTCCATTCAATTTCTTCTCAATAAGAGAGAGATGATGAGGCTGAATTTTGTGTAGTCATAAACTCAATCCCACTTTCAGTGCAATGATGAGTCAGCACCGTTGCCATTAGTTTGTTTCTTAGAACCCTCAAAATGATAAATCTCAAGGAGCATTACTTCAGTTTTACGTTATTTTGCCATTTTTGAGGAAAATGTGCAGATTTTCCCAAACCCTTTCAAGAAACCCTATTTCTTCTTGGAAAAGACCATTAGAAGACATGCTTTTTTCTAAAGGTAGGTCTCTAGGATATGTGAAATTTTTAAGCATTAATTCTGAATTTAGCTATATGTATCTTCATTAACCAGAAGAAAAAGAGACTGCGTTCTTGCAACATCACACCATGTAGGCTTGTTTCTGCAGTACTCATGCCCTCATGCCATCTGCATAAAAGCTGGTAGATCTTAACGCTGGCAGATTCACAAGCACAAATATCAGCTATCAAAGAGTAGAAACATAAACTTAAAAATCATTATATCTCAAAAAAAAATTGCCTTGTGTTATCGTTAGCCTTTACAGTACAGTCCATTAGCATTTTATTTCTCTTTTTTCGTGCTGTTGTAAGAACTAAATACTTTGTCTTGTGTGCAATTAAAGTATAGTGCAGTAATTATTTGCCTTAGGAGCATCAGAGAAATAGTTGCCAGTGTTGGCAGCATCAGAGGCTTTTTCTCTATGCTGGAGTCTCTTTTGGTGCTGTTCAACCACAGTGCCCCTGCACCCTGTCATCTCCATGAKGCTGTGACTGACAAATGGCTAAACCTGCAGACCAGCCTGAGTTGGTTTTGGCACAGGGAAGCCTGAAAAAAAAAAGTTATTCTGCAATAGGAGAAAGGTGTAAACCTGCCTCGTCACTCCTTTGSACTTGTATCAGCTGCTTCTCTTTCTGTTTTAGCCAAGCCTCAGGGAAGAGCCTGTTCTCCATAAAGATGAGTTTTACTTTTCAGTAGACCTATCTTTAGAGCTCTCTAGAGGTAATTAATATCAACAGTAGTTTGTTTCATACATGCATTTTTCAATAAAGATATAATTGGCTATAATAGTTACTTTATAAAACTGCCTTTTCTTTCTCATGCCCTCATGCTTACAGTTTCATTGCAGCCTTGCTGAAAGCCTAAAATCTAACCATTGAAGATGGTTAGATCTGACTCTTAAAATCTAACCATTTTGTATGGGGAATTAGTTGCAGGTAGAGTACATGGAGGCAAACCCACCTGAGCAACATAGGTATAATTTGTAAAATCCCTAAGTATCCTCCCTCCTATCTCTTCATGCAAATACTGACTGACCCTTTCCTTACTCCAAGAACAGTAAACTAAGATCTGCAAAGTAACAGAACTCTCTCTGTTCACATGTAATTATAATCAAGGACAACATTATTTCTCAGCCCTTCCACATGTCATTTAAATGCTCCTGAGAGTTAAATAATGAACAGGAGAGTGAGAAATAAAGAGAAATCGGCTAYTTTGCTGTTTTCTTCAGTGCTGCTTCAGATAATATGGAGTGTTAATGAGGCATGAAGGACGAGGAATGTGTTCCAGACAGAAAACTGTGGGAAACAGGGCTCTTGCTCAGCCAACGGCGGAGAGATCGCACTTGAAAAAAGTCCCGAACTTTTAGTATGTAATACGTAAAGCCAAAATACTTTCCAATGTGGAAAAAAAAAATCAGTATTTTAAAATAAACTGTCATACTTTGCATTTTTAGGATTTATGTGGTTAAGAGGTATTGTGTAACTGGTACTAGTTATTCRTACTAATAACTACAGGGTTGGAGGAGGTTATTTTTTAAACAGCACTAGGTATTGACTTATAGAAGAAGGAAGAAAATTTGGGATGTTTTCTGTCTGTACACAAAATAAATAGCCCACCAAAAAGGAACCCACCCTTTAAAGCAGCCTATTAGAAAAAACAGTAATTGAGCAACCGCATAACCTTGAGTGTAGATAGCTAAATATGCAGAAAATTTCCTTTTTGGGATTTATGCCTTAAAATCAGGAGTAACAGGTTGAATCTCTAACAAGACCTATACCATAAGAATACCTTCTTAAAAGTTTGCCAGTCCTAGATTAAATGACTGTAGGCTTGGTTATAGCATATATTGTTTATTTTTTTGATATTAGAGATGCAACTAGGGCTACCACAGCAAGAGGGGGTTGATTTGGTGTGTTTTTAACGAAATTCTGTTAGCTTAAGAAATGGATCATCTGAAAGGAGCCTTAGTCACTAGATGCCACCAACAAGCAACCTGTCTTTTTGTGGCAGAAAAAGGTCTTCATGCAGCAGGGACCAATAGGTCTATTTCGATGCGACAGTGTGGAGGTCACCCTGCTGTGATTTTCATTGATTATGACAAAATCATGACTTTTGTCTCTCTACATTTGTCTCTGCAAGCTTCTATAAATAACTTGTACTTAAGATGTAAGGCAGAAGCTCTGAAGAGAACAAAGTTCTTGCTTCTTGTCCTGATATTGTCAGAACCAGATAACTGTGCTTTTAAGGAGGAATCACTGATTCTTGTCACAAAACCAAACCATTCAGACAAAGAACGGTATTGCCCTTTTAGGTCTCTATATATTTCTTGTGAACAAATCTTGCCTTGAGTAGTTCAAGGCTGAGTTTGACTGATAGCAATGGTAACTGTGCTCTAACAACTCGTGTGATCCTTATTCCAGGAGGTAGATGTAGATTCCTTCTTATCTTATTGCAAAAGCACTCCGTAAGTCAACACTGCTTCTTGTTGCAGCCCTCRAATGTAGTGAATCTCTAGTCTGGAAACAGGATAAATACGATGTAAATCCCATTGTGGTCTCCTCCTCRGCGCAGGCTTGAAGCACCTGGATTGTTTCACTCCACCACCAGCAGCTCCAGTGCCGAGAGGCCTGGGCACGCGTTGCTGGAGCCGCCTGGGAGCAGTGTCCATTCCCAGCAAGGCGAGTRGCCAGGAGACCAGCTTGCGAGATAGGCACCGTCGTCCTGTCACAGCCAAAACTTGGCCCATGTGCACTTTGCTGGCTGGACAGGGAGGACTGAGTGTTCTCTGCCCATCTTTTGTAACTTCGCAGTTTCATTCAGCACATCTCCCTTCTCACAGTAACTGGAAAAGGGGCATTAAGTACCAGCAGACAGTAATAGTGGGATATTCAAAGCACTCTGGTCATTTCCCTCTCTTCTTCTCCTGCTCTCCCTACTCTCTTACTTTTAAAATAGCCTTTCTCTTTTTTACTTTTTTACTTCTTAGTTTTACTTTTCCTCATCTCTTTTTAGCTGACCTCCAYTGGGTTTTCAACTGCCATTTTTGGTCTCCAAATATCTCAGTCTTGACTTGTTGAGATGAAAGAGACTCTTTGAAATTGAAATGTTGAGTTTTTTGCTTTTAGACAGTTTAACAAGATCTGTTGCCTATTTAGAATTCTTCTGGAATGTATAATCCAAATTATAAACTAACCTAGCTGTGACACAGTTCTGGCTGTTTCTTTTCGACTGCAAAGACCTCTTGTGAGATATTAATTATTTATCTGCTAGAATTTTCAGACCTTGGTGCTTTTGTAGCTAGTAAACARGACTTCCTTAAATTATTTATTCCTAAAATTTGACTCTTAAATAATTTATATTTGCTAAAATCTAACATTTTAGAGAATATTTTCAAATGGTAAAACTGTTTCATTTGAATATTAGGCCTTCAGATTCATGCTCAATTTTAAAATCTTGTGATAAGACCATTTCTTGGTATACTAAGTAGGCATTAGAATACTTCTATCATTTTCTTGCAATATAAAAGAAAAAAATCCAAACAATTATAGAACTATCCCAACAGTTCTGTATGTTTCAAACTGTTTTGAAATTTTCTTGAAAGTTGAATATATTTCAGAAGCAACTGAGGTCCTGTTAGGTCCATCTAAAACAGCATATTACTTTGGTCATAATTTAGTGTATCATACTCACATTAAAAAAGCAAACATTGGTTTTGTGGTAAACCAGTTTCAGAACTTTTTGCAAAGAACTTTTAAAAATGTTTCCTTTATTTTCATGAAAGAAAACTTGAACATTTCTCAGAATTATAATTGACTCAATTTTATTGACATACTTTATAAAAAGAGACTTCTCTCTCACTTTTTTTTTCCAGCTTCCAGCTGTATTATAACAGGGACTGGATAAAATGACTTCCCTAATCTGAGCTTTTTGGCTTTCTTTGGCTTTACTGAATTGCACTGGAGCACAAGGGCCTGTGTGCTACCGGAGAAGCACTAACACCCCGAATCCCAAAGCTGCCCCAGTTTCCTCTGGTTGCAGCATTCCTTCAAATGCGTGGACTGGTGAAAAGCCTCCACAAATAAGTTCCTTAGTTGCCAAAAGCTGGCAAGAGATGCATTGCTAAATGTACTGTGCCTCCTTTTGATATTTATTTTGGAATTAAAGAAGTGGAACTCAGTCTTCTGAGTATGAAGCATCATATGTAAACAGTGGCACTCTAATAAAGGATGGGAGTAGGTGTTTCAGTTAACAACTTTGTCCATTTCTTCAAACCACTGTTATTTTGTMGGGAGATGAAAGGAAACACAAATTCACAAATTCTCAACTGCCTCTAAGCAGAATTCTCAGCAAATGGGGTCCACTAGGGTTTTCCTCACCAAGCAATTAATCCTGCAAATGATGGATGTTRTTAATAACTCACGAGCTCTTTACTACCCGGCTCTTTATGGTAGTGTAAATCAAGATTACATTGCAAGCTTCCTATGTTATTTTTCTTCATGAATGTTTAAAAGAGGTGCAAGCACAGTTARTTTTTCTTTGAATATTTCTCTTATGGAAATTGTTCCCAGCGGTGAGGA